GTGTGTATATATGTTTCGTTTCTGGTGAATAAAATTTTCCAAAAAAAAAAAAAAAAAAAATTCATAATATATTTGACATCTGCTATTCCCGCTGTTGTTGTTTTTTTTGAAATTTTCGATGATGATGATGGTGATAATCGATTTTAAGTGAGTTTTTTTTTGTTCGCGTTACCATGGTGTTACCTTTTTTTTGGTGTTTTGTTTTTTTTTTAAATTTGGATATATCATTTTGATGATAAATATCCTATCCTATTGCCATTTGCATAAATCAATTGACGAATAGGAAAAAAACAAAAGTTTTTTTCTGGGCTTTTTTCAAAGCAGCTAAAGTGACAACAGCCCGATTGAATCGACTTGAAAAATCATTGAATCGTAATGCTTTTTGCTTTTTCGAGCTTGAATATATGGTATTCTCTACGAGAAAAAAAAAACAACAACAACAACAAAATAAAATTCTTCGCTTGACAACTCAAGCCATCTTTGATGATGTTGATGATTTTGACTGTGAATAAAATAAAAAACTAATGATAAACTTCTCATCTACCTCCTATATCATTTCCCTTTGAAAAAAAAAGTTAATGATAATAGTTGATGCTGAAGTCGGTCCGTTGTTGTTGTTGTCATCAACTAATAATTCTAGCTGTCATTTCTGGTTATCACATTCTATCAGATTATGTGTGTTGGCAGTGGTGATGATGATGATGATGGTATTTTCATCAAATGACATCATCCAATGTGTATTCTGGAACCTATTTTTTATCAAACTATATTTGTATTCGAAAGAAGAATAATTCTGCAACTGTCAGCAAAACTGTTTTTAATATTATTATTATCATTGTGTGTGTAGTGTCCAATATGAGTTGATTATATTTACTTTCTTTCTTTCGATTTTTTGTTCACTTGGTTACTATTAAATCCGATTGGAATTTTGTGTTGTGTGGTTTGATATTTTTCTTTTTCTCTCTCTTTCTCGATTTTGGTTGTCATCATCATCAATGATATTCGTTGCTGATAATAACGATATAACGTCTTTTATATATTAGAAATTGATTTTAAATCACTTTCGGTTTGACATACATGAATTTTTTGTTGTTATTGTTATTGTTGAATGAATTGTTTATCAATGTCCATCTCATCATTGAATAAAAGGGGGCTACACGAAGGGAGAAATTTTCAATTGTCATCAAAATGACCGACAATAATAACGTTGCCAAATAATTGTCCATTTTTTCAAATCGAATCAAATTTAGTGAGGGCGAACAATCGATATTGAAACAGAAAGAAAACCTTCAATCTTGATCCGTTTTATATCGGATCTAATATCTTGTCTGAAATAATAATAATATTAATATCGTGTTGATCAATATGACCGATATTATATTTTCTTTTATAATGATGATGATATTGATGATGATGATGAAATGTGATGATAAACGAAATTAAATGAAATGTTTTGAATGAAAGGAAAAAATGATTGACGAATCAAAACGAAAGTTTTTCTGATTAAATCATCTGATCAGCTAGTTATCCTGATATTCATGATTTTTTTTTTTGCTTCAATCTTTTTCTGTCAATTTTGTTTGACGGACATTCAATGTTTTTTTAATTTTATTTCAAGCTTTTGTTGTTGAAGATGTTTAAATTAACTAACTGGCTGACTGACTGATTATTGTTGTAATTTTGGTGTTTGCTTCATTTTTTTGTTTCATCTGGAAGAAAAAGAAAACAATTATCCTCATCATCTACATACATTGTTGTATCATTCATAGAAGTTATTGTGAAATTTATTTCTTAGTTGCTGTTGTCATTCAATCTCCCTTTTTTTCATCATTCAACAATCCATCGCAAAAAAGACAATAGCAAAGACGACTACGACGACGATGATGATCGTAACATTATTCTTGGCAATATAAAGAAATGAGCAATTAAAACATCATGGTTCGCACATCTTTGCACATTCTTTCAATGATGATTACGATAATAATAACGATGATGATAATGATGATGATTGCTTTAGTATTTAGATTTTTTTGTTTTGTTTTAAAAACTTTAAAAAAAAAAATTATTTTCATATTGTAACATGATTTGCTAGTTGTGAGTGAAGATGAAAAAAGTCATCAATTTTTCTGTTTCATCTTTTAAGCTCAATTATGTAATGATGATGATACCACTTGTTTGGGTTTTTTTTAAAAAAAAGTAAGGAAGACAGAAAAGAATCATCTACCCTCTGATTATCATCTATGACAACGACAATATATATTGTTTTCAAGATGGCTTCATTTTTAGTTTTTTTGCATAAATATAATATCTGGTTTTGCATGGATGATTCTTTCGATATATAAAGATCATACCAAACGAAGAGAAAACCCATAAAAAACATGCACACATATGTTTGCCATTCATTCATTTGAATCATTCATTTTTTGTTTTTTGTCAACGGATTTTACGGTCAAAAAAAATGATAATCACTTTCGCTCATGTTTTTTTCCGTGAATTTAATATATGAAAATCAAAAAAAAAACGAAAAAAAATTGTTCAATTCCAAAAGACCATATGTGACATTTTGTCCATGGATTCGAATACAGTTGTTTTTTTGCTTTTCCTCTATCCTGTCCATGTGACAAATGGAAATTGTTTTTTTTGTTGTTTTGTTTTTGTGAAGATATTTATAGACATTGCGTGTTTGTAGAAGAATTCAAATGTCCACTTGTTGTTCGTTAGTTATTATTCATCGTCACACTGTCCGATTTAATATATATTTTCAAAGTGCATATGTTCGAGTGTGTGTATCTGGTTTTTTCATTATATTTTTGTTTTGTTTTCCATACAATATCTGCATCTAAACTACAATAATAATAATTTTCACATTTACATAATATATCATTGCTGGCTTTCCAAAAGAAATATTTGGTGAAACTCTTTTTTTTGCCTAGTTTTCTTGAAAAAAAAATGACGACAACGAAGACGAAGACGACAATCAATAAAACACTACTAGGCAGGAAGAGAAATGAAAATAATTATTATTTTGCTTGCTTTTTTTTTGCTTTTGTTGCAAACTTGATTGAATTGAATGAGATATATAAAATAGATAATAAGATGATGTGATTGTCATTGTTGTTGTTGTTTGAAGTCAGGTAATTTTTTATCTAACTTTGATGACAACAACAGGTTATGTAAAACATAAGAAAAATGAAGAAAGGAAAAAGAAAATGTCACCCATCATAATGTATGCAACGAGAGAGTGGTAGCAGCTTTACCATAAGCATGGGTGGATGACATCTTGACCATAATTTTCTTTCTTTCTTTCTTTTGTTTTTAGTTTTTGGTTTTGTTGTTGAATTTGTCATTTTCAAAACACCCATAAAACACAGACATTTGTTTTGTTGATTATAGACATTATATAAAACCATTTTAAGAACGCCTTCCTAATAATGTATGAAAAGTGTTAAATTGTGGTCAAATTTTTGGCCAATCTTTATCAAATCAATCAATTTGCCAACGCCTTCCAGTATCATTTTGATCATTCTGATCGCTATATTGCTGGATAAGTCACCAATAATAAATGGCTGCCATTATCAATGATGTTTGGATGACGAAAAACAAAAAAAACAGAAAAAAATATTGAATAATTTGATTCCCATCGATCGATTATCGATCAATTGATCGGTTTAATGATCAAAGATTAAACTATGTGCTGTGTGTGATTTACTGTTGATATTTATGAGATTAAAAACAAAACAAAAAAATTAATTTGATTGAGATTCAAAAAGATGTGTGGCAATAAGCGAAACTGTAGAGAGAAAAAAGGTCACACTTGATCAATCAAGTTAAAAACTAAAAAAGATTGTTGATCAAAGTTGATCAATAATTACATCATATTGGATTTGATAATAGGGAGAAATGAAATGAAACAAATAAGAAGAAAAACCAATTATCACGAATTTATATGTTGCCAAAGCCATTTAAATTGTAACCTTTATTTCAAAAAAAAAACAGAATTGTTTGTTTCGATACGTACACAAAATGATTCTTATTTTTTTTTTCACTCGTAACCTCGTGCAATTTTTGTTTCATTATTGACCTGGAAGTTTTTTTTTTGAAAATCTTTTTATTTGATTTTGATTTTGCTTTCTCTTTTTCTCTTTTTTCATTTGTTTATTTTGACTTTTGGTTCTCAATATTTGATAGATAGATAAAGTTGAATTACTGTTTTTTGTTTTCAATTATTTCAGGTTACAAAAATGTCAATTTTCATTAATTTCTTTTTGCTTTATTTCATTTTCTCCCCAGGTATTAAACATCGTTTGTGTGTTGTGTGCGTTCTCATCTAATTTCTGTTTTAATTATATTCATAATCATCAAAAAAAATTTATAATCATAATCATCATTAACCAAGAAGAAGAAGAAATATTAAAACCCTGAAAAAATTCCCAAGGAAAGAAAGCGGCCTCGTTTATTGTCATCGTTTTCTTCATAAATATCTTCAGGTGTCACCATTCTCATCAAATCATAAAACAAACATAGAAAAAAGATGATGATGACAAAACTTGACCATCATAAGTGATGATGGCTGATGATGATTTTCGTCAATGGTTCCATTTCAACCGAATCAAATGAAACTTTTTTTTCAAAAAAATTCACTTTGGATTACTGCCATGGATTATGTGATTTTATCATTTTATTAATTCGTTTGTGTGATGTGATGTGATTATCCGGTTCTCCTTTTTTTCGGACTGTGTTGATGTGTTTTGTGTTTTGTTTTTAAATTTAAATTCAAATTAAAATTTTGTTTTTTTTGCAGAAAGAAAATCCTCATTATTATTACCATATTTAATACCATCCTACCTTATTAAACCCCAGAAAAATTAAAATATTTAGTATCAGGTCACATAGATGTGATGTATGCTAAGTGAATCTAAATATAATATTAATAATAATTTCACCAAACTCCTACACACAATATTTTCATCAAAAAATTTCCAGCATAAACCACACATTTATTCAAAAAGTATCAACATTGATAAGAAGTGAAAAAAAATCGAGAATCTCTCTCTCTGTATTGAGAGATAGATAGATAGAGAAAAAGAAAGAGAGAAAAAAATCTGCTGTGAAATTCTCTTATCACATTTCACAACATTCAAATGATTAAATGATATGATTATGGCTAACAACGACGACGACGACAACAACATTATCATCAACAACTGTCATCACGCCATGATCAAGCAACAACAACAACAACAACGATCAGTAGCATCGAAAATGATAATGTTAAAATCTTCAAAAAGATCTATTATCAAATCAATTGTGCCCTATGGTTATCATCTATTTATTTCAATAATTTTATTCAACAGTCTTTTCATCAGAATTATCTATGCTGATTCAGGTACGTGTTTTATTTGATAAAATCTTGATTTTTTTCAAATAGACTGAAAAATATTTTACCTTCCCCTCTTTGTTTCTTGCTTCGAAAGTTATTCAAGTGTACAGGTTTTATGTTTTCAAAGAAAAAAAAATTCTCATTGTATATGCTTATTTCTCGGTGCTATTGTTTTTTGTTTCTCATCATCATTGATGATGATCTTGAATTTTTTTTTTACTTTTGAAATTAAAAACGAATGCATATATGATGATGATCGCAGGTTGTTCGGTTGGTATTTCGGAACCTTATACAACAATATTATCAGTGAAAATATTTTGTTTGTTTCACTTCAAATGAAATGTGTATATTCATATGGTACACACATACACACATTAGAATACTCGCCCAATATGGGTTTGCTTGTTTTGTTTTGTTTTTTTTTCTGTTGTGTGAATGCCAATTTCACAATAGACCAAAAAATGAATGAATCTTTAAGACAAGTTATCATTGGTCTCCCGTTGTGTGATGTGTGTATGATGTGTAAGTGTGTCCGAATTAGATTTCCAAGAGTAAAAATGTTTCCATACAGAATGAAATGCAGGGTGAAAAAAAAAGAGCAAAGAAGAAATACTTTGAATAATGTGAAAACATGAATTTCATGTTGAACAAAAAATTCAAAATTCAAAATGGATGAATGAATGGACGAATCGAAATAAATGTTGAACAAACCATGTGAGTCTATTGTTGTTTGTTTGTTTGTGTGTTATCGGTCTATAAAACATCTTCGGTTGATTCTATTGGGGTTTGTTGCCCTTGATGATGATTCAAAAAAAATTGAAAAATTTGAAAAAAAAAGAATAAAAAAACTTTCAAAATAATGATACAGTTTTTTTTTTTGCTTCCAAAAACTTTGAAATTCAATTTGTTAATTTCAATTCTTTCTTTTCTCTTTCATTGATTCATATTGTTGACTTTTTTCCTGGTTTTTTTTCTATTCGTCGAATGTTTGCCGATGCATGCCCAAAAAAACACTAACCAGAATTTTATTGTGAATTTGTCAAGATGCAAGATTTTCTTCTTCTTCTTCTTCTTTTTTTTACCTGTGTGTTTTTTTTCAAGCTTTTTTTTGACCATTCAACCATTCGAATTTCAATTGGTTGAACCTGTTTATTGTTGTTGATTTGAAAGTCTAGTAGTGAATTTCTATGTGTGCCTTTGTATCCGTTTGTGTTTGTTCATTCGACCTTATTCTTCATCATCATTCCATCAAATATGACCATGGTCATGCTTGGTTCGTTTCAATTCAATTCCGCCTGTATGGTCGATTCGAAACATTTGACTTTTTGGTATATATTTACACATTGATTTTTTCATTCATCTGCATTCTTTTTAATGTGAAAATAAAATAGTTACCGATCATTGCTATCAAGTGTGATGACACACTATGGACACACACACACACCTGGTCTACATTTCAATTCTTCTAAAATAATTTCCATTATAAAACAAGAAAATTCTTTTTGGACAAATCTTTGTTTGCTTGATTGATATATTCAATATTAATCCTTATCTTATATTCATATTGACTGGAAAAAAAATTTGCCCTAAAGTCTTTTGATTCAATAATAATATTTGAATATGAATTATTGAATATTTTTCTTGCTTTCTCTCTCATCATATTAGTTTTCGATAAGAGACAAATTTGAATGAATAAAATGCAATATCGAAATAGTTTTTTGCTTTTCTTTTGGTTTTTTATTCATGTTTGTTTTGTCATTATAATAATAATACCCAAATGATGATGACATGAAAGAATTTTCATTTTTTTTCCATTTGTTTCTTATCAATTCACTTTTTCTTTTACTTTCTCCTTATTATTATTGTTTCCTTCAATTTCAATATTCTTTGGACTTCTTTTTAGTTCTACTTTTCAATTGATAAGGAACCAAAAAACAACAACGAAAAAAAGAAATGAACGAGAATCCATTTAGCATAATCTTCTTTTAGTTGTTCACAAGTAAATAATAATAATAATACCCAAACAAATATGGTTTTAGAAAGAGAAAATTCATATCATATTCTCTTTCATATTAAGACAACCTCATAACATTTATTTCATTGTATCAATTGTTTTGTGATTGATAAACACGGAATTGATTGAGATATTCTTTCGATGATGATATAATACAACAACATTATCCATATTTTAGGTAGATTCTTTCCATTTTCTTTTATCGTCTTTTCATTCATTCATTCATTCATTTCACTTATCAATTTCAAATAAAATATCTCAATTGACCAGAAAAAAAAATTTTCAATTCTCAAAATTGAATAAAATTAATCTAAATATCTGCCTCTTTATATATATGAAAAAAATATTCAATTTACTTTACATCATTATATTTTCATTCATTCAATTTTCTTTTTTTACAAACACCATATACACACGCAACTAACGAAAAAAAAAACAATTACCCAAAAAATCTATCCATCTAAATCTTGATCTTTTTTTTCTTTCTTTCCCATTTTTTCTCGTTCTTTTGCTTATCTGGATTTTCGTTCACAAAAATTTCATTCGTTTTTTGTGTGTGGCATGTATGGCACACACAGACACAACTTATATCCGATTAGTTTAGATTCAAATGAATGAATGAATGATAAATATTCATTTATTCTATGCAAAAAAAGTAAAAGAAGAAAATGAAAAAAGATTGAATGACTGTCGTTTGATCGATGAGCATAACCTAGTGCGAGCGACCGACCGACCTATCGACCGACCGGCATCGCAATCATTTGATCATCCTCCACACACACACACACACACTGACATTAACACTGAAACACACCCCAAAAGGAATTTTCAAAATATAAAATTTCAAGCCCAAGATGCAGAAAAAATTTCAGAAATTTTTTTTTTTGTCACATTCAATTTTGAATTCAAGGTTTGTTTTGCATCTCAATGTTATTTGAAAATAATTTCATAAAAATTGATGATAATGATGAGTGATGGAAGGATGATGATGATCATCATCATAATCAAATTTAATTGTCTGAGATTTTTTCTTTTTCGTTTCGTCGTCCATAAATCTTATTGTATTTATGAATTTTTTCCATTGCGTATTGTCTGTTTGTTTGTTTATCTTGCCCGTTTTTTTGTTTGTTATGGCAATAAATACTGGAAAAAAGAAATAACAGTTCTTCGTTGAACTAGATCCCATGACCAAAAAGATTTCATTTTTTCGTTGAACGAAATGAAATGATTGAATGGTATCATTTCACAAACACACACCTGTGTGTTTGTCCATAATAGGCCGGTGTTTAATGAAAATTATTATCATTTTTTTTGTTGTTCACCGACAAAATTGTCATCAAATTTGACATTTTCTTCTTCTTTGTCATCTTCGACACAATTTAATCATTTTCGAATGAATGAAGTTTTCTTGGATGTCTCTCTTTTCGCTCGTCCATTCACACCAAACATTTTCATTTTTTTTTTGTGTCAATGGGAAAATGTATCAAATATTGAATGAAAATTGAAAAAAACGAAACGAAAATTGTTCTGGCTTGTTTCAATTCCGTTTTTTTATCAGTATTGCATTGTTTTCAATTTCAATTTTCTTTATATCGAAAATTGAATGAAATGAAAAATTTCTTTTTTGTTTCAAATTCTTTTCAAACTTCAAGATGCCGGTCTGCTTTTTCGTTATTGTTGCTGTCGTTTTTTCATCCATTATTCCACTATTTATTCAATGAAAATATTTGAATCTCGTTCATTGAATTTGAATATTATTGAAAATCATAGATTAAATATCGATTAGATTTTTTTTTCGTTTGCTTTGCTTTCTCTCTATCCATTTTTCACCCCCCACCAAAAAAAAAGTTTGAATCCTAAAAACATTTGTGACCATAAAAGAAACTTTTTTGTTTCCAAGAATCATGATAACAACAACAACAACAACAACGGTGAAAATCAACGAATGCAATTCAATTTAAGTTTTCATTCAATTCAACCTTCAATAAACAAACAAACAAAACAGAAAAAAAGGCAATAATAAGAAAACAATAAAAATGATATGAGAATCGATGGTAATAATTGCCACCAAGAAAAAACAAAACAAAACTAACAATAAACAAAAATTTCCTCTGTTTTCTGGTCTTTGATCTTTTTTTGTTTGGATTAAATAAATATCTTTGATGATGACAGTATGTGACTCGACATCTAAATGGTCTATTTGGATATTTCGCCCATTTGGATGTGTTGAATTTTTTCTTTTGGATTTCCAGAATGTTTGGCCTGATTTTTGTTTCACTGTTTTTGTTGTTGTTGTTTTTGTATCAGTATACTGTTGTGTCGAAAACAGTTAATTTATTTTTATTATATCAACGAAAAAAAACTTTGCATACAGAGTATAATGTTTTTTTATTTATTTTTCTATTGCTGCCATGTTTTATCATTGTTTGGATGTTTGTGTTTGTTTTTGTCCATTTTTATGGGAGACTTTTTTGTTTTGTTTGCCCCCAATCAACCATTCGTTTAATATTTCCGATTGAAAATTATAGCCATTTTCATTGAACAACCCGAATCGATTGCAAAGAAAAAAAAACAATTCAAAAACTGGATACTTCTGTTTGTTTATCTGGATTGAAATTTTTCTGAATGAACATGTTTTGTTTTGCTCTCTCTCTCTCTCTCTTTTCTCTTTTTCGTATAAATATGATGATAGCAAGAATGAGAAATTATGCTAATATTATTCCATTTATTGATAATGATGATGATGATGATAATAAACATTAAACATCATCAAAAATCATCAAAAAATCATCCTACATTATTAGATTGACATAGAAAATGGCAATGAACACGGTAATTTCACGCCATTTTTTTCGTTCGTTAGTTGTTTGTTACAGATCTTGAATTAGAATTATTCAGACAAAAATCATATCATCCTATCGATCGATTGATCGTTTGATTTAGTTTAGTTTAGTTTTGCTTGCCATCTTTCTCTCTGATTTTTTTTAAAGAT